TCTAGATCATTTTACATCATACATGTTTGATTATTGGATCTATTTAGGTAGAAAATAGCCCTGAAAAAAAAACAACAAAAAACTGAGAACTAGTTCACAAAACAAATGAAGATTTTGACCTCGGCTCATGCTGCTTCAATGTAAAATCGGATAGCCGACTACGTATAAAGTCGACTTTGTGATACCAATTAAGAAACGGTTTCAGGACGTTGAACCCACAAGAAATATCATCAACCCATTTGACTATTAACGAATTTAGAAGGAAGTCAATCTCCTACAGATAAATCTGACCGACATATGCAAAGGAACGTTAATTAATAGGAAACAGCCAATTCCGAATGAGAATGAGAAAGCACAGACAGACAGAACATTACCACGTGGGTTGTACAATTAGACTTAAACACGCCATGACATTTCTGAGAGAGAATTAAAGTAACATAATCCCTTAGGAGGGAGGGAGGTTGGAGTGGTAGTTGACTTTGTGGTATTTTCATTTTTTTCATTAAGAAATCAAGTGGCTTCTTTATAAGGTAAGTAAATATAAAGAACTAATAACACGACTGCACACGCAGCATGTGTTTTTGATACACGTGCTTGTTGCATTTGACATCAGAACAACATGGTATACTATACGTACTGGGTGACTGACAGTATGGATCAAAAACAAATGCAACCCTTCCATAACCATTATAACATTACCCAGATGCAAATATTTGAATCGAATTTTGATCATGTATTGGTTTTATAAGCATATCAAGGCATATCAATGACACCTGAAAGAAAGGTGATAGATAGTAAAACATACATAAGACGTGTACTAAGCAGAGCTAACAATGCTCGTCTTCAGTTGCGACACGAAGTATTACTCCGTAGCTGGCATGATCTCCGCCTTTATAAAGCATTTCTTTGTAATCCTTTTTCTTCTTTTGCGTTCCTTATTTGTCTCAATAACATACAAAGTAGACATATGCATTCCTAGAATAATGATGTTGACACATGCCTTGGAAGGTATTGATGAACGAGCGAAAATATGTGTCCCTGCGACGTTCACACAAGCAATAATTAAAGGCCCCGTGAGTTACTGTGGTACATTGTAATACGCTGTGGAGCTAATTTTCTTATTTAAAGAAAGCGCTAAGGAGGACAAACACAGTGTACGTTGCATTAAAAATAACTCAATGATATATGGCATTTGCACAGAATAAAGTATACAAGCTTGATGGTTTTATCGTATCTACTGGTACCTATGGGTGATGATATTGACTTATAAGTCAAACAGCTTTCAAAAAAAGCTAAACTATAAACAGGCACAGGTAACTTGTAACGAGGAACCGTCTTTAACATTTTGCAAATACTAAATTTCCCAAAAGACAGCAGGGACTAGACGCAGCGCCCTGGAATTGAACCCTATCAATCACTGTGAAATTGGCACTGACCTTTCCTGAAATCATTTAGCACATTTTAACCGGAATTACAGTCATTTCCTAATAACCAGTCATCAGTCTTTGGCCGAAAACGACCCAAAACCTTTATTTCTCTCTCTCTCTCTCTCTCTCTCTCTCTCTCTCTCTCTCTCTCTCTCTCTCTCTCTCTCTGTGTGTGTGTATATGTATGTGCGTGCGTGTGTGTGTGCACGCATGTTTATATGAGGTAGATCTAATGTCGATTGAATCACTTTCACATATTTTACATTCTAGAATCTTACTTTAAATTCGCTTTGACAACGCATTCAGTATCACCGCCGTTATAATTTTGCTCAGTGCAGCTATCCAGCATCTTCAAATACATATAAATCAGCTTGACGTGACGTCAATAAGCGGGTTTCGTGAGGCGTTCAGTATTGTTTCTTCATAATAAACAATAAGCGAGAATAAGAATTCGTCGGCGATTATTTATTACATGCGTCTGCTTTATATCTTGTATGTGTGCAGATGCCATACAGGTGCAGCTATGTCTTTGTCTTAGTAACGTTTAAGAGAACACCTGGTAAGTATTAAGGTTAATTTCCAAAATTTGCGGCTTCCCGGATCTGATCCTAATGTGTTAACGATAAAATTGCCAGAGGCTGCAATAGATAGTTGACAGCACACATCATTGCATGCCTGCCAACGTAAATCAATCACGTGACAGGACGCTCCTCATCTCAACAGTAGAAGGGATAAAAGTTGATATATTACCGACGACATAAAAATTTGATTGTGGTCATTGTTTTAAATGATGCGGTTACCACAACCAAAAACCTAGACCGCAGGAACAACCTGAACCAGTAAAGGTAGAAAATAATCGACAAAAACTATCTGTTTACTGGTTGGTAATATCGGCGAAATACCAGTCCAGCGAGGGGCGTATTTACCTTTCCCACATACGCCCAATTGCCCCATCGTGGTAAACCAACCGGTTGCCTAGCAACATTATTGATTACCGATCGATTACCACGTGGGGTGGTTAGCAATTGACTCCAACCTGGCCGCTACCGAGTGGAAGAGAAAACAGAAAACGGGAATTTGTGTTAACGTCATATTACAGGTCCTTAGGACCATCATCATTTATTGTCCATTCATTTGCTATTAGTTGCGCAATCTACACGTGCCTCCTTACTCTCAGGAGACACGATGATACGACACCCCGTTGGCATTTGTGATTTCTTAGCCTAACATGTTCTTTATGTAATGAACACTTAAGTACCTTTGTCATTAGTCTTCGCTGACTAGTTTTGTTAGAATGTCGCCCCATTTCCCTAGGGATAGCACACTACAGAGTGTGTTCTTGTGTTCCTAGTGATTGCGCGAGCGTTTGATTAAAGACGGAGGTTCTTATGTTCACCAAAGACATAATTTTAAAGTGTCTCATATCTTTACAGCTTCGCTTCATTCAGGAACATAATCGACGTTAACTTATCCTTTAGGTGGTGTCATAAGATGTGCATTGACATGTGCATTATGGTAGATCGTGCCTGGTCACGCGTCTGAGTTACGACGTGTGAAGAAGAAAGGAACAACAAATGCAATTCCGCTGTCAGCAGACTGTGTTGAGCTGCTGCACAAATATACTGTTGCGTCCGCATACGAAGCCATATATAGTGATATGGAACTGACAAAAACATCGAAATCGACACATTTTATGAGATTGTTACATGAAGTGCTATACTATGAAATATGAACAGGACGCACAATAGGAATAGTTGAGACGTTTGTTCACAGCGGAGATGTGTGAAGAAAAATCGGTTCTGTGGTTAGATTCAATTGGCAATGTACATGTACTGCATGGAACGGAGCGTCCCATTGCGTGCCTGATATACACGCTGTCAGCAAACTTCCCAAGACGCTTTATCGTTCACAAAAATGTGGTGTATATCATGTATATCATGTATTCATTAAACTGTGATGTTAATAACATTGTACATAACGCGGTGACGCCGGGCGTCAGCAAAAAACTAATGAAGAATTCTCACCTAGACTTTGGCACATATATTTGCCAAGTGGTTTTTATTCACCTTTATATATAGTAGATGGTCTAGCTAGAACAATCTCATGTTGAATATGATGTTATATGCAAATAGTCGACCCAAGACTTAAAATCTCAGCCAAACATCGAAAAGAATTTCCACGGAATAACATGGCACTCAGTCGCGCTACTTGAGGTCGGCCTCCTATGTCCCAACTATCGTCATATCTTAACCATGGGATGTTTTTTATAAATCATCGACTGTGCATTACATGCACACGCTAGTACGCCATGACATTCAGTACTTCCAGATCAAAACTGCCATACAGATGGTTGACCCTTTAAAACCATGACATGCGGGTGTAGCACGTTTCAGCTTAACTCTTCGCTGTCGTCACAGACTGAACTGCGCAAGCTCCGAGTGCCTACCAGTGGAATCCCAGAAATCGTATTTAAACAGCTTAAGCACTTTGCTGCCTCAGTTGGCTGCGAAACAAGACTCTGCTGGCGAGAAGGATTCGATCGACTTTTCTCCTGCACGGGACGTGTGTTTATATCATGCACTGTGCTCTACTCGTCTAAATGAAGAGATAGTTCGTGCTTGGAAGTTAAAGATTCAAGCGACCCAAACTGAGGTTTGGTAAAGATAATGGCGTAACTATCGACTGCATGCACATTGCGGGGAAAACTCGGCTTGACACTCATTGGGAAATTCGCCACGGGAATTTTACATCGTTAATCCACATTTAACGCGTTTGAGGGTTCCAGTGCATATACATTTGGCTTACGGAAGCACACAGTCCGTACAGAATAGAAGATATTGTCTCTTTAAAGGCCGAAGTTATCCCATATATCGCCGTCGAATGTGACTTAGTAGGGAACAGTAGGTTCAAAGTAAAATCGCAGATGCACAGCCCGGCGCGATTAAGTGATAACGCAAATGTTCAATGCACGTCAGGGTTGAGTTATCATTAAACTAAAACGTAAGGACACTTAAAGGAAACCAGAAAGAAATATATCTACAGGTGAAAAGGATCATTTTAAAAGGTAGACATTTCTGGCGGTAACGTACATAACTGAACACAATTGCAAACAGGCTTCGGGTATTTTATAAACAGATTTGACTTGACGTTGAATGCCCAGCATCAGGGCCTATTTCCTCAGGTCAGTAACCAAGGATTCATTTAATAATGTTCTTTGCTTTCTGATGCACAATTGCATCTAATATTTGCACTGCATAACGCAATATTGACAAACGAACTGTCCTTGAGTCATTTTTGATTTACTTAAGAACACAATCCATCAGCGGTGCCTTTTTTGCTTACATTCGCAACAAATTACCACGTTAAGTATGTGTTAATGGGATACCTTCTAAGTCGCGTTTCCTTCAATCACTGACTACATTAATTTGAACCTAGGAGAGGAATCCTAGTAAACTGATACGAAGAAACACCGAGTTTTTTAGATTTATTGACGTGATTCCTTGGAATAACTATTGACATTCAAACCGTGTGGCTTCCACTCAAATTTCACTATATCTCAACCGAGAGGGGAAAATGACTAGTAACAGCAATAGCAACGATCAGCACCACCCTGCCATTGTGGAACTGAACGTCGGTGGGGTGCTATACTCTACGACTTCTACCACCCTCACGCGGTACCCGAACTCTTACCTTGGGAAGATTTTCACTGGCCGTAGCGAGGAGACATTGCCTCGCGACAGCAAAGGGAAGTACTTTCTAGACAGAGACGGTGTGTTATTTCGGTACGTTCTGGATTTCCTGCGAAACCAGAGATTGGTCCTGCCAGAGAACTTTCAGGAAAAGGAGCGTCTGAAACACGAGGCAGAGTATTTCCAATTACCAGAACTCACCAAAGGCATTAAACATGATGTACATGACGACCACGAGGACACAATGGACCATCACTCCCGGATTGCTATGTACAGTCGAATGAGAATAAACAGTCTCCCTGCCCCACTTCAGAGACATTGGGGTTCTGCGGGCTACATCACCCTGGGGTACAGGGGTACCTTTGCGTTCGGTCGTGACGGATTAGTTGACGTAAAGTTCCGGAAGCTGACACGGCTCCTTGTTTGCGGAAGAGTGTCCCTCCTGCGAGAGGCGTTTGGGGAAACTCTGAACGAAAGTCGAGACCCCGACCGCGGCCCTGATGACCGTTACACGGGACGCTTCTTTCTTAAGCACACGTTCCTGGAGCAGGCGTTTGATATGTTGGCAGAGGCAGGGTTTCATATGGCTTCTGGCATGGCGTCAGGGACAAATGGCGCGGATGTCAAGCCCGGTATGGAAATTGAAGAAAGTCGATGGCAACATTACACAGAATTCGTCTTTTACCGGGAACCCGGTGACCATTGTCCTTAAAATGTGCAAAGTCTACCAGTGACCACAACTTGGGACAATTTTTGAAGTGGAAATTCGCTGACCGGTGTTTCATGAAGGCATTGCCGGACTGATCTGGAATATTGTCTGGTTCTTCGTATTGACACGAGGACGTATCCGTGGAATCCGTGAAACAATATCGGTCATGTCTGACCATCTGTATGTGATCGGCACCAATGGAGCTCTGTTTTTTAATTAACAAAACTTTGATATATACTTTGACCACGTCACGACTCTCTATGCCATTATTCGTAAATCGCAAATATCATTTTGAAATGGACACGTTTTAACGAGATTATCCCTGGAACCACTGCGACATCTAATATTAGCATCATTTATCGTTCTGGACACCATTTTGAAATACGACTCATTCTGTGTGTTGTACAAACTTAAAGTTGTATTGGATATAGTTACAAGTTGTTGACCGTGAAGTGACTTTGGGCCTGCTGCTTTTACTGCTTTAACGTAAGTGTGTGGTAGTGCCACTTTCAATAATACTGTAGTGATTAACGTCCTTTAGAACTGAATATGAACATACTGCCTGCAGGCTGCACCGTTAAGTGTTGTTCAATGTAGCTTCGACCCTTTAAGGTCTGTATTCATAGTAATCAATTCTGTCAGTAAGTACGTATTTAACTACGCTCAGCAGGGAGCTCTGGGCGTTCTTATCGTGCTCGCCAGAACTACCCACGACAGATAGACTATTGGATATTGATGCAAAGCTGAATAAGTCTAAATTATTGTATTATTTCAATAGCATCGGCATATTTCAAAGTGAAAACCGAGTTATCCCTGGCTGTATTATACTGTCTGCAAAGAAAGTTACTGTTACTGTTACAATGTTCGAATAGTTCAGTGTTTTAAACGAAATGTTGTATAGCGTTTCCCTCTACCAATTCGTGTGCTTTCACTTGGCTGTGAAACCACCATGATAACAATGGCGAAAGCATTGTGAAATTGATCATTACCATGCGGTGTTAGGATATATATAATTTAACACGATTGCATTGCGATGGTAATTCCATCATCAATGGAAGTTTCAATATTAATGTGTGCAATGACATGGCATTACTCATATCGTAACAAGACCAACAAGAGACATCTCCTACATGTAGATTTATCTGTTTTTACTAGATTCTCGATCTAGTCACATATATCATCAGCGACTGTTTGTTTGAATATACTGTTGGTGAAAACAGAGCCATTGTCGAAATCCAATATTTAACATAAAATTATTGGCCAATTTCGTTTGGTTTTCATTGCTCGTTTAAGACAAAAACGTCTGTCCATTTATTTCGGGGCCAATACTCAGTCTTGTAGAACGATCACAGTGGCCGTAAAATGTAAATTACGAATTGTACAAAGAGTTAGTAGCATCAGTGACAGAAGTTGACGGTGGCTCTTTAAGCATCGAGCAGAGCGACTGTGTGAGGAATTTGATACTCTTATATTAAAATCCAGCAATGCTCACACGTAAGATATGGTTTTACAGTGTTTCGTGTTCCATACGTTTTTTTTTTTTTTTTTTTTTTTTGCCACACTTGGCTGCTCCGCAAAACCAAATGCCATTGCCACTAAATCCAGTGGGCCGAATTTTTACTATATCTGTACCCACCGTTCATATTACATTGGTAATTATACAATATACTGNTTTTTTTTTTTTTTTTTTTTTTTTTTTTGCCACACTTGGCTGCTCCGCAAAACCAAATGCCATTGCCACTAAATCCAGTGGGCCGAATTTTTACTATATCTGTACCCACCGTTCATATTACATTGGTAATTATACAATATACTGGATTAAAAATAACGATTTTTGCACGGGCTGCAATTCTTTGTTCTCTAAAGATTCGCCACTGCACAAAGAGTTCCGAAATTACAAACAACTTTATTAATGCCCTTCGATGTGAATCCAGCGCTTTGTGTTTTGTACTGTTTACAAATGAATTATTAAGTATTTTGATATTCTACTAAAAGCTTACATATTTACGTTGATTAAATTATGAAAAAATAATTCAGTAACGCAAACGTTTTTGTAATATAAATAAATGATCATAAAATAATATTTTAGGGGAAATGTAGTAATTCAATTATTTGTAGAATCATCCGAATCCAAAACAGTCTCTCCATTGCACTATTTCAAAGAAAAATATACTTTCGTTGAAAACCTATATTCCAACAGACATATTTCAATGTAAACAAAAGTGATGGGTTACAACCATTGCGGTACGATATACATACAATTGAACGTGCCCAGATTGCCCCAGATGTATATCGCATAACCAATCTCTTATCCGTGATAGCCTGCCACTCAAGTATGCTTTACTGATACGAATCGTGGAGTTCGTCTTCCAACCTGTGGCATGCGGACGAGCTATCTTCATTTTCAAATAGCTCGTCTGTCATGTGCAAAAGACATCGTTTCAACAAACCCGTCAGTCTAAATTTAGAGGATGTTTGTCAACGAGACCATTCATTTCTTGTTTGGTGAAGCGGAAAAGGTATTTGAACAGTTTTCAACCTACAAATCCAATATCTCACAGGTATGTATGTATGCATGTATTCACTTCTGGATAAAGTAAGACTGCGTATTGATGTAAGTCAGTTACAGGACGCAGCTGTTACAAAAATCGGGATGACACTGCTGGTATTTAAAGCTTATTAGTAGCCCATATATTTCCTACAGACATAATTTATTTGTATTTGATACCATTCATCTATTCTAAATTTATATTTGTGTAAACATATCGCTTTGATTTAAAGATAACATGGTGGTACTGTTTTATTAAAAGACTACTGAAAGTGATCCTGATTTAATGTTGATTTAAGACACAGTGTACGACCAATTATGGCGCATCATAAAGGAGGAACCAGCCAAATACTCATTCAACGTTACAGCGTCCAAACGCACATAATGGCTCTTGATTTAATCTAAACAGTCATGTTACCACCGCAGAACGAGTAGAAACCAGAAAGCATATTACTGAATGACCGAGACTAATTCAATAAACATGTGGTCATAAGGCATTACCTTGGTCATAATTCACAGCAATAAAATACCAGTTCTAATTCATTAACTATGAGGTAGAACACCAGTTAGATGCATGAAATATGTCTGACCGCACTAGTATTAATTGTATTCTCTTGATATCCAAGTCGTATAATGGCTCTCCTTGATGAGGCGTTTGATCATTAATCCATTGGAAACACCCAAGCCTAACCAGTCATTAGTCCCTGTGGTGCTCTATCTATAGTCGCCATTGATATGACCCACTTTGTATCTAACGTTATATTAACGGAGCGTCATACAATTAACAGTTGAATACCCAATAAAAGTTTCATTATTACGACTAAGAGAGCTTGTCGAGGACAATGTCACTTATCATATTTGCCAACTTAAGCGTCTCACCGCGGTTCGGCTTTTTTTATCTCAAATTTGTTTTTTCAGACCGTTGAATAAGCGCTTTTTACCCCGAGCTCGCAGTACACGCAACAAGGTATGCAGCACAGAGGTCGGGGACGTATGTTTTATTGATGACCTCAACGGCGAAACCATGAAAACCTTTTGTACGAATTATTCCCAAGGTTTCTCTAACGCTAAAAGCACTTATGTTTAAAGAAACCATTTGTCAATTTCATAACTATAGAAGGCCGGGTGTTTTTATCTTACCGTTTGATGTTTGGAATTTGTCTGAAAGCTCTTTTTGAGTCATTTATTTTAATCATTTGATTGCAAATGGCCTTCAGCCCATTTGGCTCACAACACCAACCATAGGCTGCGGAGCAAAAAGAAACATTTGTCGATTAGTATCATGGATGCGAAGCCATATTAGTACTGTTTCTAGGACCTCGATTAATTCAATTAAAGATAGCAAAGTTTAGACGTTGCACAGTTAACCGCAGCCATTGTTGTCTTTCACGCCTTCTTCATTCACAGTTACCTTTCTTTGAGCAGAAACTTTGTGACAAGAAGCTAACATATTCAATGCTACGACATCCTTTAATTATGTGTGCTTTAGCAATGGAAGAGACGATGATTTGTGTACTATAGCATGTGTTTACAAGAAATGTATTTGCGATAACATTAACAAATACTGGTATATTATTTAGAAAAAAACATCTCATCCGTGTAACAAAAAGTGGGCCCTCCATTTAGTTACTATGGTTAGGGTTAGCCTGACCTAAGTGGGTCAACGTCTAGGGTGAGGCTTACCTGTACAAATGAATGGAAAGCAGTCTCTCTATCATGGGGGACTCTCTGTCTGTTACAACCGGTTCCGAGTCTGGTTTATGTATTAAGCTACGATAACGCAAAATAAAAGAATGGCGTTTCCATTCAAATTTAAAAAGTATATGTCTTATTTTACAGTACTCAACACATAAAGTACTAAGTAACTCAGACTGTTTCATAAAACTACAGTCCTCCTATATTCCAGCATGTTAAAAAACGGGCTATTTTTATTCTTTTGTACATCGAACCACCTGGTGACCTCAAGGTGTATGAGTTTGCATTGAGTGCAGTGCCACAACTGAGAAATGCATTCAAGATCTATACAAAAAAATTCATGTTCACAATGTTACAGTGCCTTCTGCACTGAAATATAAGCCTCGAGAAAGGTCAGTGAGTTACAAGTAGCATTAAGACTGATTAGTATGGTAACGGTTTGAAGAGCCACGGTGTTATAATGTGACTGCCAATTGGACTGGCATTATCAGTATAAATCATTCATGGGCATCGCTTCCCTTTCACTGTAATTCGGCGTAAGTCGTGTATAAATCAAACTCGCGAGGCAAAAAGAAGAACTGCTAATGAGATCGTGCCATAACTGAAATAATTGCAATATCCCCTTGTTCATATCTCTGATGCATTTTTAAAAGAGGTTTGGAAGGAACACTATAGTTGTTATAACGTGGCAAATTTATAAGTTCCTGCTGGAAATCGTTCTCCCTCAAACGTCAATACGTTTCCATAAAAGAAGGCAATC